GGACTGTCCCGTAAAACTTAAATAACATGTTGTAGGCACATACAGTCTTAGATCACTGACCACTCTAAGGCTTAAATTAGGAATTAAATGTGAAATAGGTACCTTCCAAGACCACGCAGCCAAGGCATTTAACAGCCTACCCTCCGAAATAAGGAACTGTAAAGACTGTGTACAGTTTTCTTGTAAAACCAGAAATTATCTAGCACAAGGGAATAATATGTTGTATAACTCGTAATTATATATACGCATATATAAATTTATGCAGTGGTATAACTCGCAATTTTGTGAATATATACTTTTTTAGTAATTTTTGTTTCGTTCACGAAGCCCGCGCGTGTTTAGATATACCTGAATCATCGCAGTTAACGTATTTGCATATTCTACCAGTTTTTGGCAATCAGCGTTCTTGTAACGGTTACCGTGGATTTTGAGCTGTAGTTTTGTTTTCCTGCAACTATCTTGATCCACCGGATAAGTGTTAACCATCAGGCATCGAACTGCTTATGTTTCTTTCGTTTTGTTTCATGTTACGTTTGTTCATGCCTTTGTATAAATTTCTAGGTTTCGAAGTAATTTCCGACGAATGGAATTAAATTGTTGTGACTAAAGCGTCGACTGATACTTTGATAACGGTAAATTGTACAGCGAGCGAAACATTGGAAACCCGATGACAGTGACGGATGGCTGAAGACGCCAAGAGTCAGAGACGCGACGCGAAAGGCCGTTTTACGAGAAAACTCAACGAACTCAGGAAATCACTCGATGACGATAAAGGAGTAGAGATCGTCAACCGAAATCACGATGAGCTAACCGAGGCTTGGAGGAACGTAGAATCCAAACATGATACGTACACGATATTTCTAGAAGACAGCGAAGTGGAAGCGAACGAAGAGTGTATATTGGAGTTACAACGATCGTTTAGCGAGGCAATGGAGCAGTACATTCGATATGCAAATGCAAAAGCGGCTAACGAGATGGCCGCAAAACATGAAGTCGATCGTCTAGAGCTGGCTAAATTAGATTTTGGTAAAGCTAGGAGGATGATCGATCAAGCATTTGTCAAGCGAAACACGACTGACGCAGTCTTCAAAACAATAATTTACGAAGCAGTTCATTTGCTGGATTCACAGGACGCTGGCGAAGACGCGATTCCGGCTCTTCGTAAAGTTCCGCAACCGTTAAAGACATCATTAGCCGACTGTAATGCAGCAAATGATAAGGACGAGTTCCTGAATAGAGATGAACCCATTGGAAGTTTGATGGATTTTCTTCGTACAAAAGCAATACAACAAAATTATCGACAGAATTAAGTCGCACATCGCTAAAGTCAGCCCGAAAAGTCATGAACAGAAGACTGAGGCAAAGCTGAGTAATCTACGTTTGGAAAAATCAAAATGCCCTGGTTTGATAGTGATTTAAGAGAGTATCCTCGTTTTAAGAAAGATTTTGAAGTTCAAGTTATGCCAAGCTTGACCAACAGCACTGCGCCTTACATATTGCGTTCCTGTCTCGGCAAAGAACCGATGGCCGTCGTGAAAGGAGTTGATGATGACATCAGAGAAATGTGGACGCGTTTGGAGGAAAAGTACGGTGACCCTGCGAAATTGGCCGATGCGATTATCGACTGTGTGCAACGGGTAAAGCCCATCAAAGAAGGAGAGGGCAAACCATTCATTGAATTCGTACAGATCGTCGAAGGTGGTTATCGGGATTTGTTGAGAATCGGCTCAGAAAAAGAAATAACTACCACCAGCTCTGTAAGCATAATAGAGAAAAGGTTGTCTCCTGACATTAGAAAGGACTGGGCTAAGCTCGTTAGTTCTGACCGTGACACAAGT